TGCAGCCCTGCCCCAGAGCGTGCAGCAGCTTCTGGTGCAGATCCTGCAAACGTCGCAGCAGCAGCAGGTGCTGCTGGAGAGCCTGGCCAGCAACACCATCTCCCACCTCCACGTCATCTCCGACAACCTGGTGCAGGTGGGCGAGACGCTGCACGAACTGCTGCTCTGGGCGCACACCTGCGCCGGCACCCTTCCCAGCTCCCTCAACCGCTATATCAGTCATGTGCCTCTTTTCGAGGGCGGCCTCCGGCCCCCACTGCTCCTCGGGGTGCCCTGCTCCCCTGGTGCTCCCCAAGATTCCCCCTGCCACAAAGAGGAGCCTCTGTGGTCCCCTGCCACTGGTTTTGCGCCCCCGTGAGCGCTGCTGTCCCCTGGGTTCCCGTGGGGGCAGCCCACATCCCCGGAGGGGTTGGCTGTCCCACGCAGTCGCTGCACCGATCTTTATAGCAAAGATCCTGGATATTTTGGGCATTTATAAGAGACAGATTTTAATAAAATTAAAAATCGCTTTTGTAACAGCAACAGCACTCGCACAGCTCTTCTCCCTTCCCAGAGGGGACATTCTCCTTATCGCTTTTGAGATGAACAGAAGGGGAACTGGGCTATGTAGAGCATCAGAGAAACCCCCAGGCTGCAAACCGCAGGGCAGATGTGCCTCCTCTGAGCTTGCCCATGCTCACCAACCACCTCCAGCTTGGCCGGGGGCCAGCAGCGCTCCCCGCATCCAGGAAGGGCTATGTAGCTCATGGGGCACATGGAGAGGCAGCGGTGGGCAAGCATGGGGCTGTGCATCACCCTAGGGAGGGGAAGGCACTGTCAAGGAGTCAAGACCTTGGGCCACCCTGCCATCTATGGGTCTCTATGGGGGACCGTGGCCCAGAGAAGCACCAGCCCCCATGGAGAGGGTGACACTCTGTGCTATCCACATGGCACTGATCCCTGCAGCACCACCAGCCAGACCTGCAGCCCTCTCGGGCTGAGGGAGTCCTGGGCAGAGGGGCACAGGCCCACAGCAGGGCCCATCTGGGGTCTGCCCTGCGCATGGCCTGAGCCGCTACCCCAATCATGCTACCAGCTGGAGCATCTCCTGCTCTGGCCACTTGCCGCGATCTGGCCAGGGAAGGAGAGGGACTGCCTGAGGAAGACTGCTGAGCACATGCGTGCCATGACTGCATGTGGCCCCTGGGTCCACCGGGGCCCATGGCTGGCCTCTGGGTGATGCACAGAAGTCCTGCACACAGCTAGGCTCAGGCGCCAGGCACTCACTTCCAGCACGTGAGCTCGAGGCTGTGGCGGCAAGCACTGTGGGCCTGCAACATGCTCTGCTGGGCCGCCTCCTGCTCGTGCGGGCTCAGGTGGTGGATCACCATGAGGTACCGGTAGTTGCAGACATGCCACCGAACATTATGCTTGGCAAAGCAGGCGCTCATTCTGGCCTGGACCCCCGCCTCCTCGGCCAGGATGCCAATGTAGGCATCTTCCACGGGGATGGGGTGGACATGCTGCGTCGCCTCCAGGATCTTCTCGGCCGCGTCCAGTGAGAGGATGTAGCCGATGCCGCTGGGGTAGGGTGGGTACTCATCGGGCCGGGAGTCCCGGGACGGCCGACACGTACCACTTGCTGAGGGCTCGCAGATGACCTGCCGCTTCTTGCGAGAGAAGAGGGAGCCCACGTAGAGGCCCATGCTCACCGTGTTGAGCTCAGCCAAGAAGGCAGGGAGGCAATTGGTGTTCACGAAGCAGTCTTCATCCATCTTGAGGATGTAGCGGGGCCAGCACTGCTCGCACGCCCACTTCAAGCCGTGCATGACCTTCAGGGTGAGGTTGTGGTACGTGTCCTGGTAGCTCCCCACTAGCATGTCCCCAAACTCCTGCTGTTCCCTCTGCACACCCAGGGCCACCGCGGCCTCGGCCACCTGCCCCCGCCAGGAACACG